TCGGTACAATCCTTAGAAACCGAAGTAGGCAAGTAGCCACTCATATGTGGCATACGTTTATACCGATGCTGGAACAATGCGTCGTACATTAGCACACGCGAGAGAGTTATGATACGCTACGTGGTGCACGGCTGCACCGTTTCACGTTATTTAGATATGGGAGATGCTCAAAACGGGAAGTCACGCATTACGTTACGATGGTCTTTTCGTTGTGCTTCTTTCCGTTCCTTTACGCTGTTTGTACTTTCTCTATACCGGAAATACCTATCTCGAATTATTCATTGTGACATTACATGAATGAAATTTTGAATACGAATCGAATTTAAATTACAGCCAAATTCCGAAGACTTTTTACAGTCTTCCGAAGACCCTAGGGTCTTTGACCTGAGCAATATCTGTATTAAGGTCATTGGATAGATTCTCGGATCTGACTGTCGTTCCCGGTTAAATGAAGAAAATGACGATAATGATTGCCTGGAACCAATCAGTTAATATCTGACCTACCTCGCCCGTATACCTTAATTATAGCTGGAATCACCAATATAGTCTACTGTTATTAATCTGTATCGATTTAATGGCTTTACTTGAGCTGCTTTAACGTCCATGAACAGTATCGAAAGACTCGACTCATGTAACGTGATGAAAAGGTCTTACATACCGGATACTCATGGGTTTAACAAGTTGACACTCTTTACGTTATTACGTTGATGACTATTTTGAATTGGCCCTCGCTGTGGGGAGGCACAAGGTCCCTCGGGACTTTCTCGGTTAATGAAATTCTGTGTCTTCGTAAAGCGTTACATCATAATCTCGATTAAGAAGATGCAACGTAACAAAGACCTACTGGTATATTTCTTGCCTTGGAGATACGGAATCCGCTTTCTACGTCGTCGTGTTAAGCTGGCTTGTAAGTACTCGTCTTAAAATATCGGGGACAGAAAAGAGGTGCAGAGGGGACGATCTTTTATAAGAGCCAAGACAATTTTTCTTTCTCTGTCATTTACTTCCTTTCTATTTCTATTTCACTCAGGTTCTTCTCGTGCAGTCGCATTCACTGTTCCTCCAGTCCATCGTTTCACCTTCCTACTCTTCCAATGTATCTAGATCGTTGTTCCTACTTATCGACCCGATAATGCAAAGTTACATTCTGACACGTACCACTAGATTGGGATTCCATCTTGGTTAGTTTATACCCAGTGAGCTAGATAGCCTGCGTAATACTTCTGGCAACCCTTCTCAGTTCAGATTAGGGCGTGGAACAGACAGAGGGTTGAATGCACGGAAATGAACCTTGAAATATAGTGTGTAATATTCTTAAGCGAGGAAGTACTAAGTTAACAGATGGTGAACTTGGATGAATTACATTGTGTTGGGTGTGACCAGAACGGGTTTTCAAATTTCATTTAGATAAGGTGTATAGTACGATTGAGAGTATGATTGGTATACGAACTTTATATAGACAGAGATTTGCACGATCAGGGAAATTTTAAGTCAGACGATAAGAAATAAAAAATCATTATCAAAGTTGAACTCAAAACGTATTATCGGAACTATTGGTATTTGCATTTGCAAAAATATTTAGCATCGATGCATATCAACAGTGGGAAACAGATGTTGGCTTTCAACAACTACAGTTCCAACTCCTAGTTATTGTTTGCACAAATGTCGTTCGCTAGACCGTCTAAACAATTCAAAGTGTTGTGGTAAATTTGACCGTGTTTTCCGGGTTTCGCGATTGATGCGTGACGCATTGCGTAAGCCAAGCGCCTAAACAAATCTTTAAAATAGTTTAAACAAATATATTAGTACACCTGCATGTGACTAAGGGGACTATTGTTTGAACTTCTTCTAATTTCCGTTCGCTTGAGCAATTTAGCTATATTGTTTCTAAAATTGGTATTGCTAAGAGTGTTTGGTAACAATGACTTATTGTCGTATTGTTTAATAACTATTGTGATTATTCAAGTACATATGTAACTTACGAAAGACAACAAATTTTTTGTTCTGTGCATTCAAACAAATAGAATAATGCTTTGGATGCCGACTTTACTGTATACTTGGTGTCTTATGTACAAGAGTAGGCAGTCAAAGTAGTTCCGATAATTGTACAGTTTCAAATAAAATGACTTTATGAGTCATACAGTTAACACCAGATACTTTATATGCTATATTCATATAAGGTTATTCAGAAATATTGTACCATCTGGAGTTAGGCCCCCTCTTATTTGATTTCTGCGATACAACCACTTTCAGGTAGTGCAATAATCTTGAATAACGCTAAATATATTTCGAGCACTTCTTAGAAGTACTTGGCAGTGTATCGTGCCATAAGGTGCTTTAAAAGTTCAAATTTATTCGCATTATTTCCATGTAACTCAATTTGCTTGCTTTGGAGTAAATTTGGAACATATTAATAATTAACCTCGTATCTGCAAACATTATTGCATCGATAAAATTTTTATAGTTAAAACAAAATAGAATGTATATTTGCTTTCTAGTTAAGAGCATGGAATTCAATTGCTATTTTTCATTGTTTACCTTAAACGTCACGTTACATTTGCATAAGTCTCCATTAGACGACGAAAGCCGAATAAATGACGTACAGTAATGTCCCAGAAATTATGAATATCCCGGAGTTGCCCTTTGGTCATGAATAATCAAAAGTTTTAGATTCGTGCTGGGTGCCCATCGCACGTGCGTAATGTCAGAATATAATTTTGATGATCAGTGTAAAAGTCAGTATTTAGGTAGCCTCTTACGGATAAACGATAGATCAGTACGTGAGACGATGCCGAAGGCGAAAATAAAAGAGCGCAAGGTATAGTACCATATTATTACCATACTTATCATGCATATATTATAGATGGGATTTATCTTTCAAGCCTTTTCTTTTCGAAGTCAACATAATTTCTCGACCTCCTGCATACAACTACCACGTGTTTCCAGTGGCGAAATAGATCCTGCCTGAAATCGAACACCGCTCGACTTATGCAGCTGCCTGTATTTTCTCTTTAAACATATTTATCGCCGTATAGTTTATACAATGTCTATCACGTGTTAATGTCACGTAATCGATTAAGACATAAAGGAGAATAAAAGTCGTTACAATAATACTATTAAATACAATCGACTCGTGTATTCAAAAGGCATAAATTCAGGTAACTGTATGTTTTGATAAAAATTTTCGTAACAGTATTCAAAGTAAATCATTCGATGTAAATTAGCGTGATGGATGTTTATCCACGTAGAAGTTATATTGTCTCTAATTGTTAGCTATAGAAATTATTCCACGTATGGTTTTCGTCTCATTTTGCTCAGTCGGTCGATACCCGCTATGAGACGTACCTACATATGTGTATAGCGTAGGGTCCATTATACTTTTACAGAATACATCCAGTCGATTCTCAGTACTTATAGAAAATACATAGATTTCTATATTCCTACGTTTACAGCGCGTTAGCGAGAACGTTCTAACGAGCAAACAAAGTATGTGCCTTGCCAGCACCAGACTCTTTGCTTTACGCACGCTTCGTACCGTAGCGTTTTCATCGCCATGTACTATCGACATTGGATCGCACGTAGTGAAAACCTTCTCTACTATGATTCCCCCCAGTATGAATAGAACAGTGTAGGAATATATCGGCTCGAAAGGAACTCATTTCAGGCATAAAATTATCGATTGCCGAACATCGTCCAAATACAATTTTGCAGTACATTAAATTAACATGGTCGTTAAATATTTGGCATGAAAACAAAATTCCTAGGGCTGGATGAATATAATTTATTATATTTATGCCCATAGCTAAAGCCGACGTTTACAACTGGTATTACGTGTAACTAGTTCTTTGATCACTTTCTAATGAAAACGACACGTTATCGGATACGTTATAAATATCATAATCTTAACAATTTCCGTAAAACGTTCATAAACCACCCGGAAAATATGAGTCTTCGCCGTGTGATTTATTTGAGCGTTTATGACCATGGTGCCAGTACCGCAACTCGCTCTGCGGCCAGTGCCAGTAGCCAGCGTTGCAAAGAAGGGATTATGCACTGAGGCACGTAGGAAATTATGAGTATATCGATCGGATAGTAAGTGTCGCATAATGCGGACTATGAATAATGCAGAGAGGTCTAATGTATGCAATATCAGAAGGAAGTGATGCGCCAGATGCAATCTTAAGTGTTTATTTGGCGCGAATATGGCTGCAGGCACTTTACAGTAGGCGTCGCGCTGGCAGTAAAGCAACAACGTCAACTGCAATATCTACGATGTCAATCGGTTAATGTCGTATATATATACCTATTGCAATTAATGTCCGAGACATCTTTTTGTATAAAGACAGCTTATCACGAAGTCCAAAAACAAAAGAAAATAAAGATGTATTACAAAATATTTTCGATTTGTAGAGGAACATATTTTATGAGAAAAAAAAATACAAAGCAAATATTAAATATTTATGTAAAAATTGCTTGACCACCTTTTGTGTAGCACGATTTCTTCTTGATTAACGCTTGATATTTCGTTCGTTCAAACGACACTACTTCCACGTGACAAGTAATTTACGAGCGTGACGATACATTTATTAGATATTTCCCAAAGGTGCTTAAACCTTCGTAACGTCATTTCGTAATCCATTTCCTATTCAATGAGCAGTAACTAACCAATTGAACTTGTCTCTTACGATATATAATTTTTATCAAATCTTATAAAAAATAAACTATCGTTTCGACGCTGGAAAGTAGGTTTTCTAATGTTTTCTCATTTACGATCGAACCATTCGTTAACACGTCTGCGTATACGTCCGAGGCTGTTGCCGCAGTGGCGTCGACCTAACGGTTTCTTCATTGACGTAGCCCTTAATATTTTTGGAAGGTAGAACCGTTGTGCGATTATTTAAAAAATTATCCTGTGCACCACCACTCATCCCATTCAATAAACTCATCGTGATCCTTTGTGAGATTTCGTAATGTCTACCAGATACCAATTTGAGACTTACCTTAGAGGAAATGTCAGATATTATTACGATACTGTATCTCGTGGTTCGGTACTCGATTATGATGGTAGAATCTTTGCTTTTACTGTACCACGTATGTCACGTGTATCCAGAACTTCAGGCACTTTTTAATTGGGATTACAAAAAAAGTGATAAAGTCCAAAGCACATTTGCCGTTAAACACGACGGGTCAGGCATTAACATGGTTTTCAATATTTCACAAACTTCCATCACTTCTTGTTATTTTTTTTCTGCTCTCATCGAAAAATATATCAAGTGACACTTCCGCACTAGCACTGTACATTTGACCGGATAACAAGTTATTTCAAACGATTAACGTTTCACGAGATGCATTAAACGTTATCGCTGATATACTGGAAAGAAAAAGAAAAAAGATTTCTTTCACAAGGAACACGAGACATTTGGGTTACGTAACTCTTTGTACAATTTTTTATCGAGAGGCAAAGTATGGGTCGATTGAATTTATTATTTTTTAACATTAATTGTACATACTATCGCGTAACTGCAATTGTTAGGGCTTTCGTGTTATAAGTGAATGAAAAAATAAACGATCAATCGGGCTTAAGAAAATTATAGAAAACTCTCCCGGAGACCACGTGCTCTCTGCGTTACCGATTCACCAGTATACAACTATATGCTCGCTCGAAGTAGTCGGTGTTTAAAAAATTTGCAAATATTTGTACAAAAATGACCGATTCTGTCAGCAGCCATAGATACGAACAGGTCATAAATCTCATAGCTAGCAATGATATCCGGGTAAATGAAAAAAAGGGACGAAAGAAATGAGAAAAATTTTGTTTTTTAAATTCAAAAATATTTAGTGCAGATCCTTCTCCCAGCATCCACCAATGAATGTCTTTTTTTTAATCTCGTAACGAACGTGTGTAAAAGCTCAAAAACGTTTCAAGCAATAACTACTTATACTTTTCGAACACTACAAAATTTCTTTCGCTACTTTTTCCGATTGTCGATTACGTGCGAATTTGAGAAAAAAAATGAACGACGAAACACACGTTTTCTGCTTCTTTTCTTTTTCCTTTTCACAAGTACGATCAGCGCCCTAACGGAGTCTACGGTTAACTATACGTAACGCGACGCTGCTTAATAAGAGTAACATGTGATTAGAATAAGGTCTTATCAGCCTGAGTGTGCACGGGGTACTGAACGCAGGCCCGAGGAGTACTGGGGCCCCGCTCTTCGCTATACTTCAGAGTGGAGGGACAGGTGCCCCAGCTTATGTCTCTTACAATCCAGCTGACTGACTTCACAACTGCGAGTTCTCAGATTGGGCGTACAGACAGGCAGTATTGTAAAACACGCAGGTTCATATATGTTGGCCGATTCGTGGGTCGCTATTCGTAGGCATTAGTATTTCTTGCGCCAGGTCACAAAAACGTGAAACTTATGTCTAATATGCTTATGAGCTATCGGACTCACGATTAATGAAGATCAATGGAACCACAACTTTTTGTATGAATTGGCCTCGTTAGCGGATAGCGGTTTGTGTTCGATTATAGGTACAGGAGAAATCATCGTTAATGGTTTGGAGAAATGATCTTGCGGAAATTTCAATTATCGTTACGCGTGGAACGATAACGTCTATTGCCGAGACACTGGATCGTATCTGAATCATCTTATCTCGTCGAAGACACTACGTTAGTCTGATTAGAAATAACACGTAGGCTGGTTCAATTTAGTAATTCATAATCAAATTCTCTATGCGTATGCATTTAAATACATGTATACGGTTTTGCTTTTCATAGCTATATATATAGTACAGATTATGACTTTGACACTTTTTGTCAAGTTATTAAGTTCATCGTCTTTCATATGGTAATGAGATTAATAAGTTCTATTAATTACTCGTCATTGAGCCAATAAGTACGTATATTCCTGCCACTTGACTAAAAAATCGTTTACTCAAGAACGTCAGCATCGAATAAACACTTATGCGTAGTTTTGAGTACAAAAAATATAAAAATCTCAATTGCTCTATAACGCGTAGTCATTTTTCGTTAAAGAAACTGTCTGAGTCACGTCGAAGCCAATGAACTGCAAAATTACGTATCAATGATCGACGACGAGTGTGATTTCCGAAAGGATTGCATCTCGTTAAGTCACAGTACGTTTTCTGTAATCTAGAGCCTGTTTAAATCTGAATTTGCTATAAACTGCTGAGGAAAGTATTCTTTCTGACCGATGGAATTATATCATTTTTTTTTATCTGATTGATGATAAGTATTGGAGCACCAAGATTTTAAGGACAGTTCGACTTGATTAACCCCTTTGGAGGCAGTCTCCGATTGGCCCTAATGGTCAAGAAAGAAAATAATATTTTTATATAAATCATAGTTTCCTGCCATCACTATCACCATCTGCTAAAATTAAAAAATTTTTTAATTATCAAACAATACATTCCTTACTGTCTATCAAACACTATTATACACACAAAATTAATATACCATTGTGCGATTCAGTTATAATAAAAATTTTCTTATCACTGACACGCGTGCTACTACTTCTGACCATTAATCATCTTTCATCGATCCCAAAACAATAGTGTTTCTTTGTATGACGTTATTTACTGCGAATCACCTACTCCTCGTTAAAGTCCAGTGACGGACTAGTGCCCTTATCAAGACAGTCCGTCAATTGTATTGTCGAGTATAAACAGTAGGAATGCATAGTCAAAGCTTATCGTCGGATCCTTAGATGTCCCGTGATAATAAACGAAATGTGCATAGTAGACAATGTATGATTCTCATTAAAGTCGATATACCTATACACTATAATGCACTGTTGAAAGTTATCGACCAATGAAGCTCACGATAATTCAATCCGACTCCTCGATTCAGTTAAGGTTATAATCTTAGGTTTCGTGTGATAGCACGTCAGTCGTTCCCGTGAGAGAACCACGGAGAATAATAAAATAAAATAACATATACGTCAGATTCTCGTTAGAACGGACAGGAATTCATGGTGGTATTCAGCCTAGTCCACCTACGGTTTCAAATTGATTAGTTGTACCGTTAGTTTTAATAATGCATACAAACTCAACGTCACTAATCACAGGTATGCCACTGGACAGATGCACCTCAGATGCAGTACAGATGCAGGAATACTCTGTTAAGATATTACACGTGGGTAAGAATCATTCCGTGTTTGGGAGTTAGGGTTGCATGCTTATATACTTATGTTCATATCCTACGCTGCCTGATCTGATCTCCCGATGCATTAGTGTTGTGTCACATTTTTGACGTCACGTCTTCACGCTCAGTTAAACCCGCTCAATGGCTCGCAGAGCATCTCAAAGTAGCATTCAACATGAGATGCCCTTTTACATCATCAAATTCCACGGTCGTCCGTGTCAAATCGATAGTAAATACTAACGTCCTGGCAATGAACCACCGCTGCAACAGTTATTGTTTATTGATTATGGTTTATTGATTTACAGAAAAAAAGTCACTAACTAATTTTATCATAGACAAACCGTATACACGAAAGTGGATCATTCTAGGCCAAGCAGAAGGATCTATAGATTTTCAGGCAACAGTTAAATTTAGTGTATAATATTTTTGTCCGACGCCTTGTAAAGTGTTCGTGACCATCTGATATATTTCAGAGGCAATATTAAATAGGAAACACATATGGTATGAGGATCCTTATTTTATTTTTCATAAATCCTGTTATCGAAATTTCTCGCTCCATTTAACTGTCACTACTTTGCACCTCGGGCTACGATTAACATGACGTGAATTAACCTCAGCGCATTTCCACATATCTACCACCCGTCGCCACAAAAGGGAATAGAAGCGGAGTATACTGATTCAAGATCACATATGCGTGCTGCAAACATTATCCATATACACGATGCTTTCCGTTTATTAATTCAACCTAAACTGCCAGTTGTTCGTTTGAAGTGCCGCTTATTACTGTCTGTTACTGTCACGTCAGCTCGTTTACATTTTTTTTCCAGTCTATAATCAGTCATGCGAACTTCTTGAGTATCGAATGCAAAATTGCACAGCAATTTGCAAAAGACACGACGTACCCCAATAATCCTGCAAGATGGTATTTATACCTACTGGACATTCAGGATTAGTTATGCGCCTGCGTGACGTATACCAGCCCGTTTTTTTTTGTAAACGACCAAAAAGACTACAAGGAGTTTAATTCAATTCCAGTACGAGGATAAGGATGGTTATCCTATTAAATTCCATATTTACAACCACTCTGTAATACACGTGGTGGAATTATTATTTATCACGGAGTCATGATTAGGATTCACTTCTGGTAACGAGGGTTATACTGCCTTGTTTAACATGGCGCGAAATTCGATTAAGCTCCTTGATATTGTCCCTGTAAGTAGACTGATCCTTTATGAGAGATCATTGAAATATAAAATACGCAATTCGCAAAATGGAAAAATCTAAACTAATGGAAATGTTACATTTGGCCATTTGAATGCTCTTCTTGGAAGCTGTCGTGCATTTTCAGTGTCGATGAATAATGGTGTTTTCGTTCAGCGAAACCCAACGGTACAAGCTTGTACGTATGTATGTCTATTTTCGCTGGAGAATAAACCTAATTATATCTGCGAAAGGACGAGGCTCAGTCTAAACACTATGCGCGTTAAATACGATTAAAGATTAACAACCGTGGCCATTAATTTTGCATACTTGGCTGTTAATGTCAGTTGAGCGAGATGATGCTACTTATGATTAAGTCCTGAGTTAAGACCTTGCAGGGTCGACAGATTCCTCTTGAACTTTCGCAACTGGATGATATTATTCTTACGGTTTTTAAGCATTCTCGGGACTGCCGTTTAAAATGAGTCCCTAAAGTCCTCGTACATTTTTTACGTATTTTATTATTGCATCCTTGAGAAGACGCAGTGGAACATGACGTAATTTTGTCTGGGAAATAATTTGTATTGTTCGTCATTGATATATAATTGGAAAAGTTATGAGGCTTGGAAAATGGAACGGATCATCAATGGATATTTAAACGCTCGACTGACAATAATTTCGTCATTGTGCTTGGCAATCGTGCGAAAGAGACCGCGAGATGAATTCTACGAATACGCAACAACCTTCGGTAATATTTGTCGCTAAAGAAATATGGGATATTGCGAAGAAAGAATAACGGCGTCTAAAAAAAAATTACGAAAGCGAACTGGATTTCATATTTGTCAAACTAACAGTATTGAGTCACCAGATTTTCAGGAGACACGTTTATTCGATGTGTTTTGCACTGTACGTATATGTAGCTCAGTGACGAGCTGTTGCATGGGAAATATTATATGTTACATATTTATGATTTTTGGTCTACAAGTTGAATCACATGTAAGTAGATTGAAGTGTGTTCCAGATACATTATATACGTGTATATGAATTACAGGGTCCATAAAAAATCTCCTGCACTTATAATAGCTCTCGGGTAGTACTTACGTTCAATTTCCTAGATTTCAAATAACTTTGAGCACTTTCAGTTTCATCGTTTTGTCACTGTCTAACATCAAAAGATTCCGCAGTTTCCTTTTCATTCATTCAATCTCTCGCGGCCTTGCATTGAAAGGAACAAGTTAATACCAATAGACACAGTGTAGCAGAGAGAAAGCATGGAAGCCCGCTTGTGAGTGACGTTTTTCTCATATATGGTTTTACTACAAGATATTCATCGCTGGATCTTGTGATTCCATGGGGACTCATATGAAGCATCGGACATTTAAAAATCGTTTTATAAGTCTAATGCGGGTCTACAGTTTCAATAAACACACTGATAATTTAATTTTATGTAAATATAAACGTATATTGGAATATCTTAACCAATGTCTTTTAGCTACGGTCGTAACGCATTTTGAAATTCCCGCTGGCGTCTATAGAAAAATCTAGGGTATTTCTTTCGTAACGGTTTATCATACGGTTGTCGTTCGTTCTGTCTAGGGAATTTCTTCATTTTTTTCCTCCAATGGAATATCACAGTGTGCGATCAAAAATCAATGAGACTCAGCTATTACATAAATGTATGTGTACGCGTCGTGCATTTAGGAAACCTTTGTTCCAACTCTGCCAGTTGATTAACATAGACTGGTATCTTTTTGAAAAATGCTAGCGCGTCCCTACGGTACTATGAATTCAGTTCGGCTATTGTGTCTGGATAGGTTAGGTGTCTGTACAGATTAGTATTATTTGGGCATATATCCAGAAGCACTCATATGCAAATCACGGACGATAGATCTCAAAGGAACCGACTGCATCTCTGGAGAAAGAAAAGAATGGAGTTGGATTTACGTTAAAACGTAAATATGGAGCTTAGGAGTTTTGCCGCCGAGCAGGTAAGTCTTCACGTTAAATATACAATAGATATGTACCGCTTCTGACCGAGTAAATATTTATTTATTAGAATCGTGCGGCGTTTATTTTCATAATTGGATACGTATCACGCATTACGTATATATGTGATAACTTTTGCTTGGGTAAATACATACAAAGATTGAAAAATGTAGACGTGCTCATTAACGTGGCATGCTTATTATAATAATACACGAGAAGATATTCATAACATATTTAATTCGTGCGAATATGCACGAGGACTATTGATTATGAATCTCTGAATGTCACTGTTCACAGACTAGGCTATATTTATATATATTATTAAATAACTTGAATGTGGATAAAGGTTATTCCGGACTCGTCATTTTACGCAGTAATTATTTAGAGTATTGGGCTACCGTAGTGACATGTAAATTGTTATTAGTGAACAAGATAAATCTCTCTTGGTTACCTTCCAGATCCGAGACTGCAAAAACTGGTCCTTTGATTCAATGACATAATTTCTTATCATCGTTGTCCGTCGCAGATTCATCAGAAGTTAAGAGCAACCTTGAAACTGAATCTTGTACGTTTTCAAAACTGGTTCCGTGATCTCGAGACTGTCGAATGATCCCGGATGATGCACGTGGCACTTTGAGATTCAAGACAGAAAGTAAAAGAGGGCCACCCTCGATTCTCGTTCCATTCTGAAATAACCAACGAAAAAGAGCCCCTTCAAATCTAAGACTGCATCTAACAAAAATATTAACACAAGAACAACGCCTATGCTAGTTCAAACCTCCCAAAATGGTAAGTGTGTCAAAGGCATCGTATTTCGGGTTTAAAAAACTTCGACTGTATAAAAATTAAAAGGTACCTTACTCTTCCGCATGAAAGCGAATACAGATATGTATATATATTTGACATAAATATTTGTGCAGGGCCGTACCTAGCTTCTTAGCTACCCCCGGAGGTATCGCAAAATTTGGACTAAACGAAATACGTGTGTGGTCCTTGTACTTTTTCTTCTTATATGAGAAACAAATACGCGTAGGTGGGACCTCCTGGGAATGATGACGGTCCATCAGAGGCGTCAGGGTTCTTGATCAGAACAAAACTTAAGGTAGGCTGACATTTATTTAATATTAAATATCCTGCAGTATACAAGGACTTGAATTAGTCTGTGATGTAGTTTTAATTTGAGATTAAGGTACCTGCGGCGCCATATTCTAAGCCGTGCAACACCTTACGGACTTTTATACCGCGATGTGCTTTATTTACAGTCTTTTAAACGGGAGGCATTTCTTAATGGCTCTCTTTTTTGTTCTCGTTGTGCGGGGGAAACACTTTGATAGATATTATATACTCAAACTGAAAATTATGTTATGACTGTTCTCATTAGTAAACGCCCACGAGTCGGCTGGCACTCCAAAGAGCTTACGTGGCTACTTCCTTCACACTGGGTAGGACATTACTATCTAAAAACGTAATGCTAAATCCGTGGGGATAATTCGTTGAATTATTAAAGTTTACGAGTTCACTGGTCTTTCAGACGGAATGTACATCTTGCGCCTGGATCCAGATTCAGCCCTTCAACGTTTGTCCTTATCTTGGATGGACTGGATTTAGAATTTTTTTAGCGTAAGACCCTGGCCCCTGCAACTGGGCCCTTATTGCGTCTTGGCGATGATTACAGGCGTCATTAAAGTCCCCGACAGTTATTTCGTGACTTTGAAATTATTATACTAAATATAGTAGGACGAACTTCTCTTCGTCGGTAGCTAAATGAAAACCGACCTCAGAGAGCGCCGTTGACTGGCTAATGAACGATTTGTCGAACTTTCGAAGGATGGGGTAAGATCGTTATCCCAAGTTGTGGTATTTGTTTGAAAAAAAACGAGACAAGAAAATATTCCAGAAAGTTCTTTTGGACGAACGCTGACTAGCGAGTCAGCCGATGTTATGGGGGTTATACGTAGATCGCCTTAGGCGCACAACTCTACTTTCACATCGATCCTGCCAATAATGGGAGCCTCATGGTACGGTTTACGTAAAAATTTATTTTTCATCCCGTATCCTTCGTAATTGCCAGATTAATCGATGAATAAAGATGGTAGTCGACATACGTTTAGCTGGGAATTTAGGATATTGCCTAAGCGAAGTTGCCTAAAGAAAATTTGAAGCGACCACACACGTTGGCAGTCGTAAAGCGTAGGTGGCGACATGCTAAGTTACAACGTCCGAAATCTTAATTCTAAGTGAACTCTGTATTTCTCCCTTTGCTGTTAAATGACGTCTAGCTGATTGTTCAGGCTGTTCCTTTGTATAATTTTTCATGAGTTCAGCAGTCCACTTATGTATTGTCAAAAGTTCACTCAGTGTGACATGTATAATCACCGCGATAAAGTAGCCTGACAATATTTTAATTGGCTCGAAACTTTAATGGAAGTTGGCTAATGGGAAATTGGATATGTCTGGTATTGGTATACGTATTGACGTAACATCAATTGCGACAAATAAGTGTATCGCTATCGATAGTGGTTAGAGCTTGTATAGCGTCATTCAAATAGAATCAAATCACCGTAGGGTTTCTTATTGCAAACGAAGCATTAAGAGCATATTCTGTTTGTACATCTTTTCATTAGTGTCAATCATTAAAACCAGTTAGTTAGTCTCGAAAGGCCGTCTAATCTATCTTAGCAACACTTCTAACGGCTGATGCAAAGAAGCACACATGGCGTATCGACAGGTCGATATTATCAGGTATGAAATGGCCAGGCGACCGGCTGGAAAGTTTACGTCAATAAATTTAGAATCGTGTTTCTAAACAGGTGGTTGTGTAGTTGTCAGTGTAGGGCGTAACTAATTTGATAATGAATCATTGACGTATATTCTTTATTTGCTATCTATAATTAACATGTGATATCAATTATAAGGATGGTATCAAATTAAATTAAATTAAATTTCTCTCCTTATAAAGTGACGATAAAAATGTAATTCGAAGGAAAACGAACATTTGTGAAAGTCATAAACGTTGACACTTGGTGACAATGCTGACATTCTGCAAAGTCTTCCGGGTCTGAGACGTGTGTAACAGTGTCGTGAAGTAAGGTTGACTTCTTAATTGTCGCGAAACGATGAATAACTTCACTTTAATTTATTTAATTATGTAAATGAGACTAATCTCAATTAATGGAATCCATTGGGCCTCTTTAAAGGACTGAAGCTCTTCTTCTTTTTCCCACGGAAATGCTTCTACTGTCACATCTTGTATTATTCGTGGGGTGACGTGAACGTGTCGGCACGCTGCTCGAGCACAATGATCTCGCTTCGATGCTACTGTATAACTTTCAGCTAATAGGGAGTGTGCGCTGTAGCCACAGGACTAATTAATTTATTAGGCAGTCGTGTCGAGTGACATTGTATAATAAATTAGTACGCTGTTTTTGGTTCTGGCGAAGAAGCTTGAACTACGTTGTTGTGTATTGGATCTAGTTTCTTGAGTTGCAAGTCACTACGCTCTTTATACGATTAGTTCGGCTCAATCGTGACGATGAGATTTTTTAATTTACACTTGCTCAATCAAAATGGTAGCAAATCACATAATTAGACACAGACTATTAAGACTGTGTAAGCATTTTTTTTAGGTAGGACTCTAGATTTAATAATATAGGACGTTTTTTGGTGTAGTCTAATGAAGTAGTATTTAATTATTATTTTGTTTTTATTCATAAAAGTTCAGTAATATCGTTGGTACTTCAATGGTTAAGGATGTTTAATAGATTTCAGTATGTATCGATTGTAGATATTTATCAAATGCAAGTAAAGTAGAATATAATTGTCTTGCCTGACTTATCGACTATTGCATACCGTCGCCATAACGTACCGACTGTAGCAAAGTTTTACTTGTAACGTTTGGTGTATTTAATTCTGTGCAAGTCCGCAGCTTATTTTTCTTATGTCCTCCGTGTCCTCTACGTTTGTAGTATCATCCGTGATCAAGCTTCGCAATATCTTGCCGTACTTTTGCGAATATTTAATTGTTCGAATGGAGTTTAAGAATCGAGATGGGTAAGATTTCCCTCAATTTTATAACAAAGAAATGGATATTTTTATTACAGAGTTAAGCTTATATTAACGAAAACTGCAGCATTTCAGGCAGTCGAATCTGTGAGATGTCACTGTCACTACACTGAAGTACAGGAACTTAACCAAATACAATTGCTGATGTGAATACCTAAGCACGAAAATATTTGGAAAGAGTGCTTAGCGCGCGATGCTGAGAATACTAACGTTTGGGAGGTATGAATTAAATTTGTATTATTTTAAAGCGGGACAGTTCAGTGTGAAATTTGAAGCTTAGAAAGCAATGGGTATGTTCAGCAGAAACACCGCTGAGGGAGCATATACATTTGATTGGTCAAATCTCACAATTGTTGCAAGATTTACGATCAAATGACTAATCAAACGAATTTGCTCCCTCAGCCGTGTTTCTCCTGAACGTGCCAATGACTCTGCATGTAGTATAATAACTGTCTTTTTAAACCTTTATTTCAGTGTTATGGACCTTAGCTGACTGTTTTGTTGAATTAATGCCTTTTACTTCATATTAATTGATATGAGAACGTATTTAATTGAAGCATATTTTACATACTATATTACCTATGTGCCTTAACATTTGTCTTTCTTTGTGTCAGGAAGTCCAAGAAGATAAGTAGTTGGTCGTATGAACGGCTCTTTGAATTATTTCAAGATTTGAGATATACAAGTTTGGTTTACCAACAAAAAACAAAAGGCTGTAGTGAAGTTATAGGATGCCAGACATGGTTTAAGGAGGTAATGATCCACTGTCCTTGGTCCTTGTCAATGTGTACACGATGACAATGGAAATGCCATCACTCACAAACGAGCTTTTTGATGCGATTCATTCTGGAGAAATATGTCCCATGCTTCCAAATAAATCTTGGGGGATTCACTGTGCAGAGATACCTGAAAAATGTATCGTGATCAGTGAAGTTGTAATGCAACATGTGAGTGACACCGGATTAGTACCATTATATATTAAACAGGTATGTAAATGCACAGTTGACTTAATGCATATAGAAAGGATAATATTTATATTTCTATTTATCTATTTCTTCATATTTCAGATTGTGTTCGATAACAAGTTAAACTTCGAAGTTTACTTTCTCAATTCTAGAATTGTTTTGAAAAACAGACCTTTTATTGGACAAACCATTGCTGGTTTTGAACATGTCGTAGCATACATAAATAGTTTGAAACTATGTGCTGGAGGCCCTGATATAAGTCAGTACAGTAACATTAAACTAGAATGTGCTTATAAAGATCCCACAGATAAATGGAGGCACAATCTATGTACTTTAGAAATTTCTGGTGCTGAGGTATGTGAATCCTGTCTTTCTCTGGGAGAAGTTTTTAAAAGACATGCACAGCGTAACAAACCATCAGCAAAATCTCGAAAAGTTGTGAAATCAGTGAAGAGGAAGCGAGTTATTTTTTAATTTTAACAAGAAGGCAATTCTACAGTGGAGAGAAAAAGTTCTAGTACAACAGCATAATGTTTTCATTTGAATGATTATCTTTAAACATGTTATAGTTAAAATCTGTTAAGCATACAAGAACATTAATAATAGAGCATAATAGTATAGAAATATATCAAACGAAATTATTAGGTTCTAAGAATCCTATCTATGAATATGTACTCTATTCAGATTTAAAGTATTTTTTTTGTTTCTGCTTATTAAAAGCGAATATCGTTTGGTACGTACAATCGAAACAGGAATTATTATGATAACGTTAATTATGTATTGTAGTATATATGTAAATAAATTAAAATAACTTTAACTGAAAATGGGTTTTAATAGCCTATGATTTTGCAACAATAAGTACTAAGGAGGAATGTGATTGAATCAGATGTATACATTTGCATTCTATTATAATTTATTGTATATAAACATTTGATACAGTTTTAAAATTTTATTTGTAGAGTTTAGTTTCAGCAGTAGAATTAGAAGTAATTAGATTTTATAGAATAGAATATTTGGAGATAAATGGAACGAGCGACCAAGATTCAATATTCGGTTTGGCATGACATGATATAGTAATATTACTTGATTCATTGTAACATTATCGTTGCATTCAAAGAAATATATTCGGATATTCGTGATAAATTCATTACATTAAATAAATTACTTGAATTCCATCTTTAATATACGTAACCAATTTTATCCTAAATCTCTTGAGTTATGGACCATTGGGCTAATAAGTAGAGATGAAAAATATCGAATGAAAATAAATGATGGCTTTTATAAAATTATTTTATTTCATCGTTGTTTGTCATCATGATCCGAAAGATTATGGTTCGATAAAAAGAATGTCACTTATTCAAACCGATTTCATCCATACTTTGTAAAAATAACCGAAATGATTATTAAGAATTCTTTACTACAAATTCGAAAGGTTTTCATTTTATCATGTTATTAAATATTAACGATACTGCTATTGGTATCTATATTATTAGAATGTCGAAATAAAAGTCTTACGCTGGTAACCGTCATAGAGAGTCGATAGTTGGAGTAGAAATGAGGAAGAAATAATAAAACAAAATGTCGAAACGTGGAGACATCTAATTCAACTTTCTGGGGTGAGTTGCATTGGTAATATAAGGCCATTCTTCAATTGCAACATTTGCATCAGATTTGCAATAGATAGAAAACAATTTACATACTTTGATCTATGGATTGCTTTAAAAAACAATAATTACCGACGCTAAAACTAATTATTTATTATAGAATGTCTTATCGTAAATATACAGTGAATATACATTTACGCTTGGCTACGAGAATATTCTCACGTTTTTTACCTCGAAAATTGTCTTGTAAATTTCAATTGTCCTTCATCATCAACATCTTACTAATATTAATGACCTTTATACCAATCACTTATTACATCATCACTCGTATCTATTAGTCATTTCTTACGGAAATGTTTTACGGTTTAAACGTGAGAATGTCATCACCGCCCAAGCATAGTACTACTAATTCGCATCATACATGGACTAGACTTGATTACTTATAATCAATAGTAGTTTCTTAATGCAACATTGCAAGGAAACGAAATTATGTAAAAGGAGATATAACAGCAAGAGACACAAACATAAATCTATTATCCTCGCTTGCAAGGCCTAATATTACACTTTGCCTGGAAAATGCTTATTATTATTTTCTCTTTATTAAATTTTCTATAAGTTTATTTTCCTTACATCCTGTTACATTTTTTGCATATGGTATGCATAGACCTTTTGACAAATGGTTAACATTGAATACAACGGTATTTTACGGCTAACAGTGGCCATCGAAGGATTCATGTAAACTAACTGGCCAAACCGGATGAAAAGGTAGAGAGTATTGGCTCGTAAAATTATCGATGAGCAATGAGAGGACTCGATCGATCTCTTAATAAAATATCATAATTGGTAAAAAAGCCTGGACATTCATAATGGCTTTGCAAGCGAGTATACTCTCATCTAAAGTTATGGAAGGCTCATCTAGCTTTGCTAAACACCAATTACGTATACATAAATAGTGTATAAATTAATTAAGTACAAAAATTACAAACTTATTAACAAAATATTGGCAAGACTGGGTTTCAGCCGAATTAATAGGCTAACGATTTTTCCTTTTTTCTCATTTTTAACTTTCCGTTCCCACCGAGCGGAAAACGCGCCAAAAATGTTTTACTGTCCAAATGATAATATTGCGTTTTTGAACTTTCGCGTGTCCCTAACACGGATTGAAATGTCATCTTTGTATTTTGTTTTTCGAATCATTATAATTTTCAGTATATTACGTCTGTTTGAGACACGTCGAGATTTTATTCAGTTTTCCGTTTTGTATCTCTCGTTTTAAACTAAAAAATTAACGCAGCGACTAAAAGTACTGTTTTCCCTCTATTTTTATAGTCTCGCAATTTAAATATTTTTATTTCAAATAAACATGCTCGCAATGTACCCCTCGTGTACAGTGAGCTTGCTCGATATCGTGGAGATAAAAAAATAGGCCACCAGGTAAAAATTTCCTTTCACCTAGGCCTCGCCAATGCATGATAGCTAGAAAAATGTCGTATTAAAAATGTATGCAGTATTTCGCGCGTTTATCGCTCCTTTAACACCATCCCATTACATCAATATGATATTATTGCTTCCACATTAATAAATATTACAACCAAGTACGTCTCTGACGATTTTTGTGTTTTAAATTACCTAACACATATCACAGAATACGTATTCCTCCTTTAGAAAATTATACAAAGCATAATATTTATGATACAGAAGATTCGTACATTATATAGAAATTCCATCAACGCGAAAGTCGCATATGTGCGAGATACGCGTCAACGGGATACGTGTGAATGTTGCGCTTTCATTTGGAGTTAGGTACAAGAAATTTGTGCTCTCACTACTTGGAACTTAATATTTTTATAATACTCCCTCTCTCTCTCTCTCTCTTTCATACTCTCGTTTCTTTTTCACTCATTCTCTCATACGCACGCAAGATTAACTTACTAAACCTACCCTGCACATCATTAAGGTAATATCCAAGCAGCGATAGAAAGATCGAAATTTTCAATTTCGCTAACCTTCTCGCATTCCCTAGCTTCCACATAAGATAAATTAATATAACAGGTATGTCGTAATACGAATTGGATAAGGCATAGTGAGTATGTTACAGTACTGTCTGAGATATTCTTATAGTTTAACCGATATTATCTGTATGGTACAATCGTGCACTCAGCGATTGGGCTCATCAACGAATCCACGCTCGAGCCACCTGAAAATCAGAAATAGGAAGACATGTTAATATTTGCATTCTTCTAATAATCCAGCGGCATCAAGACCTCTAACTGTCCATTAGATATCTTACCTTGATCGACGAGATTAAACGGTGCCGAGGTAGCGAAGGGACTACTGGTTGAGCAGGGTGTTAGTCACCTCAGAGATGGACAACAAAGGACTCCCGGCGTCCGGTTTGGAATCTGCGGTGCAGCCGACCCCATTGTGGCTCCCGACGACCCCACCGCGTGATGATGCGGAGCATGGTATAAGACGCTGCTGTTGGTGCTGCTGTTGTCCGTTCCCATGGACATGGACATGCCCATGCCCATGCCCATGCCCATGCCTAGACCCAACCCCGTCCCCGTTTCCCCCGCAATTCCCGATGCTGACGGTGACGTGCTGCAACCGAAAGGACGTTCCTTCGTTACCAGATTAGAATTCCCACTCCGGTATAACGTCCTCATGAATTCTCTTTTTCTGGAGAACATCGCACAGACCAATAAATCCTTATGGATTCAAGATTACTCGATGTCAATGAAATCAGAATGTAGGTAACGTTCAAGGAGAAAAAAGTGTCGTGCGTATAAACGGTTACTTAAAAAAATAATATGGAAAGATAAATTATTTCTTCCTACAACGAAAGGCCCTGTTCTACCGGTAACTGTTCACATGCAGAGTTTTCCAGTTTTGCCGGTCATAAAAAGAAAAGAACTATTCTAAGGTCAGCCGGTCGCGAATAAAATAAAATTGGTGAGGTAGCGATGACACTCACTGGGGCGTGTGCCTTGGTGGTGCAGGGTGATGGTGGTAGGGATAGTACTGGTAGTGATGGTGGTGTTGCACTCCTTGCCATACCTCGGAGCCCGCATCCCCGTGTGCATGACCAGGATGAGAGTGAGGATATCCAGAGGTCGCATAATGACCAGCACCAGTTGGATACTGCGGATGCTGTTGATTCTTGGTGCGCGGCGGACTGCCCGCTGCCGTAGTAGCCTGCGAGTTCGGAGACACTTGCTTCCACTTGCAGTCACCGTTGAGGCTGTTCATTTCCGCGAGCGACTTCAGGGGATCACTTCCGGCCGAGACTTGGCCGTGCGTCGAGTGCGACGAGTGGGTCGAATGCGGCGTGGGTGGGCTGTAGCTACCATTGTTTCTTGGTGGTGAACGCGATGGCGGCGCACCCCACATGAGGACAGTTTGTCGCGGCGCTTCGTTCCCATAAACTTCAGGCTTGACGTCTTCCATTTTAGGGGTGAGCACACCATTGGCCGCAGTCACCGGAGAGCTTCCGGCGGAATTGCTGGAAGACGCTCCTTCCAGGGAGTGTCGGCTTCCGGCTCGGACCACGTTGATGTCTGTCGGATGAATCGGAGCCGTTGCCACTGGACTGGCAGCATAAGGAGAACCTACGCTACCAGGATGTCTAGTCTCGACGTAGCTGTACTTGGGCGACTCCGCTAGCTGCTGGCAGTACAGCTTCTCTTCAGCTTTGCTGCTCAACTGATGAGTATCGTAGGTGGGCAAGGAGACGTCTATGAAACCGTTGTAGGCTGTGGTTGTATGATACTCTGGATAATAAGACCCTAGCGGCCGGTACTGGAAGAGATTCTCTGTGGCGGTGAGGTATCGGTTGTCCAAGGCGGTTGCTGGATAGAGAGTCTGATGATAATTGCCAGTGTGGCCTATGTAGGTTGTCAATGACGGATCCGTCGTAGCTGCGACTGCCGTTGGTGCGTATGGCGTTGGATACATGGTGTTGAGGTTGCTGTACGCTGCTGCAACCGCTGCAGCTGCACTGGTATCCGCTGTTAGATAGTCCACTGACGCCACCGTTGGTGTTGCTGGTGGCGACACGGACGACTGACTGGTTAGCTTGGTTCGTTTGCTCCGACACGTCGAGAGGAAGTCACGTAATTGGGTCTTGTAACGTCGGTTCACTCTTTGCGGTGTCGGCTGTGCTGGGAGGGTTGGTGTCATTGTTGATCCTGTCAAACTCTCGCTGTCTGAGAAGTAGCTGTTGGTCAAGCCTGCGTCCAAGTAGCTCACTTTGAAGTCCATAGTGCGCTTGCCCAGAAGATCCCGACCTTCCTCTTCCCTGAAATGGCACGCGAATGGAACGTGAAGTGCGGTGTCTTTGTATTTCTCGTAAAATCTTTCGTAAAGAGATGGTATACATACATTAGAGGTCTATGCGTGCTGATAACGAAATCTGGTTTGGAGTTCTTGTAAACGAGTCTCGAACTGGTCTGCAACCATTGCCAACCTCCGTCCTTCGTTTGAAACCTGTAAGCTATCATACCGGATGCTCCTGTTTTTAGAACTGCAAAGAAAGGATTTCCCATTAGCGAATGCAAGTAGACATAACAAATTAAATAGATGTGTCGATAGATAATATTGGTAGAACTTACGTTCTTGATGTGCGCTTGCAACGTAGGCCAGATCATCGTAATGGACCAAGTCGTAGCCACCCAGATTAGCCAATTCAGCATCGGAATATCCCAAGAGCATTTTTCCACGCTGGTCCATGGACACCAATGCAAGATCAAGTTTGTGTTTGCTCTTGAACATCACTTCCTTCTGTGGCACTTCTAGCAACGACGGTGGCCCGAATGGCGTGCACAGGGCAAAAAGTGCCAAAGGTGGTTCTTCTGTTTTTCGATTTTGCCCATGAAGCACTTTCACTCGTCCTCTGATATCCAAACGCTAAAATCAAATGAAAAATAGAATGATACATGTAATGGATCGACAAAGCGCTTTATTTGTTCGTAATTAGAGTAACTATAGATCTGAATCATCGGCGATCGCACTGTGCTTAAAGATGAAGAAGAAATAGAAGAAGCGAACAAGGCCAAGGGAAGTCAATATTTTTCAAGTCAACCAATAGGAAACCCAGCCATTTTCGCGGCAAGTAATATAACAATCTCATGTAAATTTGTGTAAAAACACGATAGCCAGAAGTGGATATACATCTCGTAAAGGAGGATGCCGCCAAGAGGCAAACAGCGACGACCGGCGCCGTAAACCTTTTACGATTACAGTTTCATTTTCATAAACGTCAAAGCGGCCCCGTTTTTGTCTTCGCGAAACGTGCCAGAGTGTGACTGGCCCTTCTGGTCCCGAAGCCGACATCGTGCTTAGTTATGTCTTGCGTCTTACGTTCGACAAGATACTTCTGTGTTTGCTGTAAGATAATTAGTGTTTTGCCATCCACATCTCAGCATCCACCAGGAACGCCTCTGGTTTTGTTCGCCAATTGATTTACACACATTGCACAGCGTTTCTTAACGAATTAAATGAGGCGAAGTAGATGCTTAAAAATTTCAAAATTATTTTCTATTCCGAGTACCGTTCCAATATACCCAATCTTTTTAGCACTGTCCACCCCTGATGAACTTCGAAGTCTCTGGCATCTAGGATACAAGGACGCATTAGTACCTTCACTCGAGTAGAAGACGAAAGTGCCGAAGGCAGGGAATTAATTAAAGACTCCAAGGTGGTAATGGAATTAGCGTGCAAGGTACGGCGCGAAATCGTTGAGCACGCATCTCGCGCACTCCTCGATACTTTGCCTAGTGGAGTACCGATGCTACGTCACAATGAAGGATGCACGAAAGTCTTCCGTGAGTCTGTTTTTAGCCTACTAGCGGACAGCACGAAACTCCTCGGTTGAAACTATCACACTCGCGTGACTCCGTAACGAGTAACCGGCCGATGAATGAACGTAGAGTCGCTATATTTTTAATGGAGGAAGCGAAAGGGATGGTAGATATTCCTGGTACGGAAGCGCCAATGTCACCGGGAAGTATATCGGGTAGATGTGGGAATCGGTTCTGTGCGTTGAGACGAAGAAGAAGAAGCCGAGAAGCAGGCGGATGCGGAGGGCTGGGAAAAAAGTAATTACTCCAGTGGAGCCCAGGAGACAGGCTGAAGTGACTTCTGCTCTTTTATGACAGTGAAATTATTAATTACTGTTTTGTATGCCGGCACTCTGCTGCTGCGAGTGTGGAGAACATTCCGAGTGAAGCGATGGGGATGCTGGGAGGCAAGACACTGTACGTTCGATGCTCGTTGTAGCGCAGCGGCTTTATTGTAATTACATATTGCGTTTACCAGTAATGTTCTCAAGATACTGGTTATACATTGTACGTATCTACATGGTAGGAACAAGATGAAAGGAATGTCGAAGGATGCATTTTATTCGCGTCAGGGAATCTTGGGTGCTTCGCATAGTTTACCTAGGTTCTTGAACTTACCAGAAAGCCGGAAGTGTTGTCGAGTAGACACCGGAAACGCACTGTGAAACTGCGCTCGACTAGATGACTGTGCTGAGGTGAAAGGACATCGTGAAGTGGAAGGTTTGCACTTTCGGCCGGTAGAAAGGAATTCCACATCAATTGTCTTTGAAGCTCTTCTCGATCTTCGCTGTGTACTAGTTCGTATACACTCTGATGGACTATGTCAGACTGAAATGGAAAGGTAAATAAAGAAAATAATGGTAGAAAGTGAATCGATAAGTCTGTGTGCTAAAGGGTTAATAGGTCCTATGTTGGTATGTTGCTGTGGGGGG